ATCGTTAAAAGAAACAACGACGTTTCAGATATGAAGGTGATGAGGATAACAGATCGGAACATTAAATGCGACTGACTAGCAAAGATCTTACATAGGAGCAATGGCCTTTTATAAATGAGCTGAGTACGGACTTTATGAAAAAGTATGTTAAAAGACCCGAACTTGTCTCCGGGTTCATCATGAGCGCAAGAAACCGGAATACTCGAACATGTTGATCGATTTATGACGCTCTTGTCATCACAAGGACCAAACGCAAGAGAACGACCCACTCAGTACGATGTATTGTAGAGAAGCGCAAAGGAACAATTGTGTAAAGTGTGTATCGCGCCTACCCCATTTAGTGCGAGATCGATTTGATTAGTTGAGTGCGCTCGGAGATAGGCATGTTGGCATGGATGATGGTATCACACGACCGAGTGACAGGAAAAGGCTGTGAAAATTATGCAGATTGATCTACCTAACGGTCAAGAAGGAGCATATTAAAGGATAGACGATCGACCGATCACGATCCGCAATGAAGGGCTTGAATCACCGCGGTACAAGAACTGGATCACTCAAGGGGTGAACATCAACTGGAGTAATAGATCGCTAATGACGATGGAATATAGGTGAATATGGAAGCAATCTGGAAGGGCGTATCGTCAAGATAATCAAGTATGCGAAGTTTCGGAAGTGACGGCAATCCGACATTGGATGCCCGATCGAAGACGCAACTGATTGACCACGATCTATCCTGAGTGTGTACCGCTGGGTGATTTGGACATTAAATTCGCATGGATACATAATTGGGGTCTATTACAACTACGATCCACTACCCCGCGATCCGCTACCCCGCGATCCACTACCTCGCGATCCGCTACCCCGCGATCCACTACCTCGCGATCCACTACCTCGTGATCCACAACCTCGTGATCCAGTACCCAGTGATCCTCTACGGAGTGTCTTATTTAATCACATGGAGCAAGGAGTAAATTACATAGACAGGCGATGCGCAACCGTTGACCTAGAAAACAGACAGGCATACTCATAGGTTTTGAATTCGGTTGGTTAACATTAAACAGAATTGAATTTGCAACGAAAGACACGCGTCGACTTCTCCCCTTCAGGTTATGTGGCCTCCCGTTGAATCAAGAGCCACCCGCGTCTTTACAAACTTCGCGTTTGGATTGTTTGGCCGGGCGGAACATCAGTTCTCACTTTCAACCCCAACTGCGATCAAACGTAGGGAACCTAACGCTTCAGATTCAAGGTCGAGACGCCTCAAGTGGTCAGAAGGCTCTCGGGTCAAGTATTACCTTTGGATACAGGCGACTCTGGGAGAGCGCCCAAGTTACAATCGATCGAGTATCGAATTTCCACTCGATCCAACCTTACATTTGACCCTGTGCGGAATTTTCATCCAATCAACCCCTATCCCTAGAACGGTCAAGTTCAGATTTAGCTGAAGTTTACCAAGAAGAGCTCAACCCGCCCCAATGACGGGTACACAAGGTGAGCAAGAAGACACAGAACACGGAATCTGGGTACCCCGTCTGTTGTCGGTCGTCCGGGTGCCAGTGGAGAGTCGAAATCACAAGGAATTTAAGATCACCACTCCACCGCACATTATCCGTGCAGGAGACGACTTGTCACTAGTTCCTAAGCCAGCACGTTCGATTGCGACTCGAGTGACGTTATCAGGAACCGAAATAGTTCCTTAAGGCTGCTCAAGAGCGTGGTGACAAGATCTTAGTCGCTTTTGGTGCACCGACCGCGGCGAGCTTCTACGCCAGTTTCCGCGACTTGTTGATGTGATCGAGCGCACCTTTTCCATATTGCATGACTGTCACACATATGTGACGACGCAAGATGAGCTTTTTCGCATGCTTATTTTCTCTACGTGCGTCACCAACTTCTTCCATGCTTCAAACGCACCGAGTGACAAAGTCTCCAGCGGTAGCTGCAAGTTTTCCATCGCAACCCAACCCAGATGATCGAAATGCCTTCCGCGCCTTCCGCTTGTATGACGCCGTGTTCGTTGCCGTGTGACAGTGCTCTGGCTATACGCCACCGCACGTCGCGTCCCCCACGTCGCGGTCTACCAGCATTATCGCATCTTGAACTGTCGCACGTGAAAGTCAGTCTCATCAACTTGTCAATATGGGCGGGCATTGTCGAGTCGTCCACGGCAGATTCGAGGGCTTCTGACGCAGAGTCGATCGGGCTGTGTTAATAATATGTCGTTGTTAAATCAAAATGCAAATATAATATATTTAGGTCCTTCGTTCGCATACTTTTATGATGTTTTAAGCCTACTGAATCTTACAACTATGCATTCAAAATAGCCATATCGCACAATTATCATTGTAGAGTCGCCATTAGTAATTGCCACATCGCCCATTACTAGTCTTACAAACTTAGACAGATTTAATTTCTTTCTGGCCGAGTTGTTTCCTGGACAGCAAAATGAAATTAATGCTTATCCATTTAATAAACCTGTGCTAATAGTGAAAGCGCTCTTGAACAATTCGCAGGGACATTGAAATAAGGCATCATGTATATTTTATTACACAACTTTTGACGCAAGTTTGCCCAGACGGATGTGTATATAAATTGGGTAAATGATATACAACAACGCTAGAGTACGACTGTATACATGTTTAGTATCGAAGGAGTAGCAATCACATGGATGTCACGTCTTTAACCAATCATTAAATTATCCATAGTAGAGTCAGAGTATGTCGCTGCATGTGAATCAAGCATGTATGCATTTGTTTCCTACATATTGCAAGAAACTCTACCGCATCATTCGAATGTCATACGCATTGGGTTGGCAACAAGCGGCTTACGTTATGGCAACTGATTCAAATTACAACCGACGGACACAATACAATGAGCTGCAGTGGCACTATGTACGGAAGTAAATGCAGAAAGTATTGACTGAGCTGCACAAGCCAAGAGGAAAGACAATCCGTCTAACGCATTTACCAAACCTCTCTATGAACTGCTTCTTCGAAGACTGTTGCAACTATAATCGTCAATAATATAAAGTGATCGAATGCTGCGCTTTGAGGAGGGTGTATTGGAATTCGTGTCGGATACATGTTTAATTATGTTGGTGTAGGAATGTGGACACATGAATTGTGTGAAATTCAGGTCGCTGTACGAAAAGGATGTATCATGCGCTGGCACGAGTGAGACAGAAAATGTTTAAAGGGGTGTTCATACCGTTTGTATCCGTAGGCAATAACTCCAAAAAGATGTTTATGGTTCATTTTACCTATGTAGGGTCAAGTGGATAGTAAAGTATACGCATTACTATTGCCGTTCGTTAATATCAATTTCTGCACCCTGCTGTGAACACGCACCTTTGGAATGCGCATTAACCAATACGGCAATCAAAAAAAAGGTGCCATCTGAAAACGCGTCTGTGGGGCCCGCAGATTTTTATATGAATATTGCTGCTAATAAATTGTGACCTTAACAGACATGATTTAAATTCTAAATACTATTAAACTAGCCAAAAAAATGAAATCTCACAGTTTGCTGTCATTGTACTGTCATTCTCTACAACAAAAGGCATTACAAGAAGTAGATAATATAATAATACAGCATATAATAAAACTAAGAAAAATAATGCACGACCATTGTATACGTAACGGTAGAATGTCTTATGATGGACATTAAATGGATAGTTATCGACATACATGAGGATTTTTTGTAAGATTCGTGCCAATATTGCAAAAGAGCATTTAAAATGGTGCCGAATCAGCCGTTTGTCAGCATTAATCACACTAGTGTACAGCATAGAAGTTTATGAGTCGCCGATGTCTTGTGTACATGATGCGTGAAATCTACGACGCAAGCATCATTATTCATTGTGCTCGCATATTGAGCGAAGCGAATAAGTTTTATAGAATAATGATGTATCAATATATTGGATTTCGAATTCCAAGTGGACTGATTGGGACCGAGATGCTACGCTTGTATGCGTTACGTACTCCACTTCAGATAACAATATTGCTTCGATTGGCGTACCATTTACACCGCAATATCCATACCAATACCGACGTCACTACTACTATCAGCAGCTTCGTTTATGTGACGAGCACAATTGTCCATCAGCGTGGCATGTTTGTTAGCGTTTAATTCACCTTGTGTGCCCGCGAGTATCCGCGTGACTTTTTGCAATAGCAATTAAGTAATTATGTCAGCTCTTAACCCGCTTGTCCAAATTGATGTTGCATGTCTATAAGCCATCTCATGCTACCTCGGGTTGTCCGTCGAACATTTTATAGAGCATCGTGTACGCGCCATTTGAACACTTCAGCGTCCAGCAGATATACGTGAATGCAAAGGATTATACCCACATTCGTAAGCTGTTTATTATCTTTGGCGCATCATTTTGTAGAGATTTTGTCCGCGGATTCCTTCAGAGTACCCAGGTACTCTGCGAGATCGCTGGGCTCATGCTCCTTAGAGGAACCACACCCCTCGTTACACTATGGGGATTTTCGGCTTTGTGGGGCTTCCAGCCCACCCAACAATCACCCACCCGAGGGTTCGGGTTGGCTCATTCTGTACATCTTAAAAATACATAAACTATAGTATAGTGAAAATGTCACGTGTAATTTGTTTAAGCTTAGCATTAGAAAAGTACAATAAGACCAAATAATTTATTACGTTTACAAGCGGCGTTGTTTTCCCAGATATACGCAAATGAGAATGACGATTTCGGCCATGTGTCTTTTTTTTGTCGTATAGTCGACAATCGTGATGCACTTATTTGCGTTTTTGGTGCATTATCTCCTTTTCCCGATGTTGCTACGCGTTTTATGTTTTATCTGTTCAGTTTCGCATAATCTCGTACGAGGTTCTGCTCAATTTTGTATCGCAAAAGTTTTAATATTTGACACAAATTTGTGAAACGGACGCCGAAGATTATTGATGTCGTCAACGCGAGGTAAAATACATTTAGGTTAGTGTTCATCACAGCGTGCAACGCTGATCGAACCACCACAATGGCGTACAAACCCGCGGGCAAGTCGCAGCGCAAGCGGCTTCAGCGTCAGCTGGAATTTTACCTGAGCGAGAGCAATCTTCGGCAGGACAAGTTCTTGCAGCAGGCTATGGATGATGACGGCTTTGTGCCTGCTCACGTGTTCCTCTCCTTCAACAAGTACGTGCGCCTTTGCGTCTATCGCTTAGCAGTCTGTAGTAGAAGCCTATGAATGATGTGCGTTTGTCGTGTAGGTTGAAAGTGCTCAAAGCTACTGAAAGTATGATCATGGAAGAGGCAGACAAGTCCTCCGTGCTTCGGGTTGATCGATCGACTTCTTGTATCGCACCGAACCGCATGCCGAAGGAGATTGACCATGACGATGACATCAGTGCGTGCATCGCCCTCTTCTGCACGTAGTCACCACATTTGTGCAAACAGCCGGGTTAATATGGGAATGAGTGTTTGATTATTTGTTTGTTTGTACTGTAGACACCCGCACGATATACATCGAAAACGTTAGCGCCACGGATGACCACGATTCGCTGCGACGAGTCTTTGCTGTATTCGGCAGGGTGAATCTCGTGAGTTTGCCAAGATTTTCGCACAACCGAAAGTTTAAAGGCTTTGGCTTTGTAGAGTTTGCCGACGTACTTGCTGCCGACAAAGCTGTTGTGAGCTCATCGGTTTTGAATCAAAGAGGGATTCGTGTCATGAGGAAGACTCGATGGCTCGACATGAAAGAGCAATTGAAACATCAGTTGGCTCACGACGATGTAGCCAACATGCGTGGCGGTACCAAAGGCAACAGTCCGTCAAATACTGCTGATACTGAAGCAAAGGAGAAAAAGGGTCACTCGTCAGACTCAAAACACCGATTCTTCGTCGAAGGTGACGTCAACGAAGAGGCTACTGAAAGTGGAAGAACAACGAAGAAGCAGAAGGTATGAATAAAAGTTGCAGTTATTTCCGTTATATACGATAAGCAGCCGGATCGACGTGTTCGAGGCCGTACAAATGCGCGATCTTCTTCATCATTTCTTTTCGACTCTTGCTCGTGGCATTGTCGAGTTGAAGATCGTATAGTGAACTAAGATTGAACACGACCACACCGTTGAGAAACCGCTTCGGGTTCGACTTGATCATCCGTTCCAGCGCGACCACAGCTGCCTTCACATCGCAACAGTAAAGCGCGCATACCGCATAGTTATTGACAGCCGAGCTCACAACATCCTCATCCAGAAAAAGCTCAGCATCAGTGTTCGTCGAGCTCAAGACTTCCGCATTCTGCAAATGCAGAACGGAGTCAAACGCGCTCAGTGCTTCTTGCAGCTTATTCTGAGCGAAAAATAGCAGGCCGTCATTCAATAGCAAGCGTGCCTCCAGCTCCCCCACCACCTCAACCTGTAATATGTCACTGCCTCTGCTAGCTCCCGGTCGGCTGGCGTGGTTTCGAGCAGCCTCAAATAGCTTCTCAGCAGCCGTTAAGTCACCCATTTGCAACCGGATGCGCCCCACGCGGGATAGCACGACCACTATGTCTTTTACGTCCATAAATTGAGCCTGGCACAACATACAATACATTATCGATTGTCAGAAGCATATCATACTGTCAAGGAATAGGACGTCGTGTGCACGTACATCGATCTGAGAACAGATACGCAAGGCCATCATGAACTTTTGCTGATGTACAAGATGATTGACGAGCGCAAACTGTGCAATGCGAAGCCAACGTGCAGCCGCTTTCAATTGGATACCAAACAGAGACATCGTCTCACTCTCTTGAATGGAACTTCGTAGTCTCAATACCAGATGAAACAATTGCTTCTCGTGGTTCATGACTTTTCCTTGGCACTTGCTAAGTAGAGCTTGCAGAAGAAATATGCGAATAGGCACGAAGGGCGACGCCCCGCCGGCAGTTGATAACAACTCATCGAGGTTCCCAATTTGGTCCAAAACGTTCGCCGCATTGTCGTACTGTCCATCTTTGATTAGCCCGGCAAGCCACCAAGACTTAATTTCCAGCGTCACGTTGATATCGTTTGACGGGCTTTGTAACATCGATAGAGACTTTGTTGTGAGTGACCGCCATCGCTTTTGAGCGTACAACACTTCTAAACCTTCGACAGTGTCAAGCACAAGCGAAGCCTCATGCGGGACCGCATTCTCAGTACTTTCCAAACGCCGACCAATAGGCATCTTCAAGAAATCGTCGACACGCTTGTCTGGGGATGGAGCTTCGAGTGTGATTTGAGATGGAGCCAGGGGTCGCAACGTTGCTGCAGATGGCGTCGGCCTTATCTGAGGAGGTTCCTCTTCTTCGTCGAAGATAAGCAAGTCCGGGACAGATGGGGGCGGTGTAGGGACACGGCCTGACTGCAACCGAGCACTGTTTTCATATCCTAGAAAAGGAGCAGCAGGAGGAGGCATTTGCCCGAATGCACGCAATGATGACTGCTGCTGCTGCCGATACGGCCCATGCTGCTGTGCGGCTCCAGTGGCGGGGTGAGACCCGATAGATGGCGATGGATCATGTGAAGATGGTAACGATGAGCGTCGAGACAGCGTCGAAAATGACGTCATCGCTTCTTTCGGGCTGTCAAACAGGCTTGTGTAAATGTCTTGCTGGGTTGGTGGTCCTGACGCAGAGCTTCGACGACCTGGATCATCCGACGCCATTTGACCAGGTAATCCAGGCACATTGTTTTGCATGTGCTGCGTAGAGGATAGCGGAGGTTTGTCCAAAAGATCATGTAGTGGGACAAATCGGGATCGATCCTGCTGAGATGGCGGCCATGAAGTGTGTTGAAAAAGGCCTAGCGCTGGTGTCAGCATAGCTTGTCCGGGCGAATCGCGTGAAGCGTCAGGTACCGTTGAAGTCGCTGGAGGGCGCTGAGATGTTGGGGACCCGGATAAAGCGCCGCCTGCGGACATTGACGTATACCGCTGCGGAACTAACGGTGTAGACAATTGCGTCGGGGAAGTGCGCATCGCTTCACCTGTACATCAAGTTCGAGGGCTAAATGAGGCAGCATGAATACATTGTCGAGATGGGGGGGGGGTCACGAACCTGGAAATTGCCCGGGAATGCCGAGACCAGGACGAATCTGATTCACCATCGCGACGGGTCTACAAACAGCGTATACTTCAGCATGATAGCGGATGAGCTTAGCCTATGTGTACACATTGACAAAATGTACCCGGACGCGAATGGGGAAGGTCTTGTTGCTGTAGAGATCGCTGCTCTGTTGGCGCAGGCAGCGTCTTGTGCGGGCGGCTGCGGGTGCTCGGGCATTTTTGCGGAAGACTAATGGCTCAAACCCTGATCGGAGTCAAAATGGTGAAGCTAAGTATGCAATCACCAAGAATTATAGTCAGAAGGTGGTGATCACACTTACATGCTCACCTTCTAAAAGTATTGAATAAGAGTCTGTAAGATATTAAATTTATATATTTTGCAAAGATGAATCTTGCTCATCATTTAAGGCTCATCAAATTATATCACTTAACTTATTACCAATCAGAACAAAACACTGAATGAGCGGTTTGTAGTTGCATGGTATTTCCGTTTCAAAATTATTAAGAAATATGCTAAGAGGATACCCATCATAAATTCGAATCGTCAATAAACACTACATCAACAAACAAGGATGATCCATCCGTGCGGGGCTTGGCATTTTACACATCTATTTCACGAAATTGGCTGACTATCATTCCCGAATAAAATTTTAGCGATGACATCAATCAACTAAAATTATGTAATTTGCCAATAAGCCAAAAATAGCTCTTGATAAAACTTTTCAAACAGCTTTTACGGAAAGATACACTACAATCTATATTGTGACTAAATATTACTTATGTATGTATCTTCAAACTGACATCATAGGAAAGAGAAGTAAACGTACAAGAAACACTTCAAAGGGAACAAGTCGAGAAAGAAGAAAGAAAATTAAAATATAATTGCATGTTCTAAATTTTATAAAAATAGTTAAACGGGGACATCGTAAGCGCTCGATAAGCACGATCCTTAAAGATGAATTACAAGATGGAAAGAGCATAAAGCACATATGACATACAAGATTTGACACAATATAAGCATGTCTCAGATTCCAAAATAAATGTCGATTAATGATGCTAATGGTTTTGGAAGTAGCTCAAAATATACTGAAAGCGCACTTCCGGTGATAGGTGGAGTCGGATCAGTCATTTTATGTGTTTATCAGAAAGACCGACACCAATAAAATTGTCAACAAGCCAGTACTTTTGGAAAGGGAAAAGTGAGATATGCGACGCAATCGCCATCATTCTTGGTGAGCGTAGTTAGAGTAATTCTGTTTCAAATTCTAGGTTGATATGGCATCACTTTATCGCGTTTAATAACCATAGGGACTAAGAAGACAGAAGTACCTACTCGTGTACGCATCATGTACTCCACCACAGATCGCAATATTAAACCAAAATTCACAGCCACTGGATCGAAACAGTCGGATCAACCACCATATTTACTTCCACCATTGGTGGTAGTATCTGTTGGAACTAGTTGGACAGTCGGTATATTTCCTGGTGAACACTGGTGACACTTATTTGAAGATAATTCGCATAGCTATAAAGACTCATGGTCCTGGGTTGCACTCGCCAAATTTAGGTTCCGCGAAGGTTCTCACGAAGGAATAGTGCATGTTCGTTCGGATAGTAGGACTATGGTTTTGGCAACAATAAAAATATGGCTTTATAATACCGTCGCGAGAGACAAGTGTTCTCTCTACATTATAGTCACGAGATCCAACTACTGTCCCTTAGGATGGTGAACAATTTGTATTCAATGGATGGAAAGCCTCAGACAATTAGAGTTAATGTGGTAAATCGACTACAGAAATTTGCGATAGCGGAACTGATCGCGTTCCCGTTATATCCGAGTCAGTTAACGGTTGGCAACGCCGGTCCCACAACTGGTCGGATCGCGTCCACTAAACGGTCAGAAAAGAACTAAAAATCAGATCGGACATGCTACAGGGTGAGCTCGTTACATAAAAATTGGTACGAAAGTACCAATTTTTTACTATCATCTGTTTTGATAATATTAAATCAACATCACTCAAAATGAGTGATGTTGTCGGATTATTATCGCTAACGATAATATCCGTGGAGGGGTCCACTTCTCGGTTAAACTACTTTGTACATCAACCAACTCAACCACCAACTGCTGCTAGACGCGCGCAATGAGTGGTGAGCAAGGGACACACATAGGAGAAGATAGTTTAATATAGTTAGAGTAAGTCAAAAGATGATTTAATAACGTTATAACTATATTAAATAAACAGTTCTACTTTTCCCTCAAGACAGGGCTTTCGGGTTCTGTTTTGCCTACCGCTCTTCGTTTGCCCTGTGCACGCTTGTCGGTCACACGTCACCCTTGCGTTAAGTTCACGCAAGGGGTGTGCCCCATTATACCTGGTAGCACTTTGTATTCCTCCCGGCGACCAAGAATCTCATCCATCATGAACATGGTGGATTAGAAAGAAAGCTGTCACGCGACGCGTGAAGGCTTAACCCATTTGAGTGGTCTCGAATGGGCCGCGGTAGGGCGAATGAGCTCTACCGTGGGCGACATTGGCGTTAGTGCTATATTGAAGTCTCTTGACAGAGACCAACAGCATGCCTCCATCGCCGAGTTAATTCAATATGAACTTGCAACCGAACGAGGGAAAGTAGCCTTGCTTCACCCGCAAGGCTCTCAACAGGCCGATCAGTTGAGACAACTCGGTGCTCAATAGACTGAGATGTTAGGACACAGCAATTTGATGCTGCTGTGGGCGGGACGACGCGCAAGCGCGTCGTACCGAAATCATTAATGTTGATATCTCTAAGTACAGAAAGGTTGAAGAAGACTCCCTTTTATTATGATTCGTCGAACTCATCAGAGCTATAAAGGCCCGTCGTATCGACGATGAGCAAATGAAATTGACATTTGCTCAATCCTATTTGGCGGGACGTGCCAAGACTTAGGCCTTAGGGCTGGAGATGAGCGATCCATATGATTTTGAGTCGCTTGAACTTTCCAAACCCCGGCTCAAACGTAGGTTTGAGCCGCCAAGAGTAGAGTTCAGAGCTCGATCGGAGCTTCAAAAGCTCAAATAGGGTAAGCGTGACGTGCACGCTGACGCTTAACATTAAGACCCCTTGTAAGTAGTATAAATGCCAATTCAGTGCGCGAACACACGTTGATTACTGTTTTCATGCAAGGGCTCGCTGAGGGGCCCGTCCAAAATCACCTGTTCCGTCTAGACCTGAATACTCTAGAAGATGACATCTCAGCGGCGGAATACGACGAATTTAGCATGAGACAGGCTCATGCTAGCTCAAACTCTTATCGTCCACCGAGACGACAAGAGATCGGAGGTCCAGAACCAATGGACCTCTGCTATGTTTAGAGCGAGAGACCTCGCTCTTCGAACAGCAAGCGATTGCAGAGGTGCAATAGCTGTCAGAAGTTAGGGCACTACGCATACGAGTGTAGTGCTCCACGCCCAGTACCAAACAGTACTGAGCGAAATGGACGACCATTTGCCAGAAAGGGCAATGGGCGTGGGTCCAGCGCTGTTGCAAAGCCGCAACAGGGAAGCGGACCATCAAAATATGGTCGGGGTCAGTAGGGGCGGAGCGCCCTACTGATCCAGCAACCTCATGAGAATTTGCAAATCTCTTGACGAAAGTTGCTCCACAAACACAATCACTGTGTGTCCCTGGACCTCATGATGAGATTTCACTCATCCCCTTGAAGTTAGAAGCGACAAAAGATATGTCACTTCGTGCTTTAGTTGACTGTGGGCATCGAATCTTTCTATTCGTCGCAAGTCACTGGAGGAGTGTGGGCCTAGATTTGTTGAGTGCGATATTCCCGTAACTAGGATGACGGTGCGCCTTGCTACAGGCGCATCGATTACCGTTAAGAAATGTGTAGTGGGAATCCACTACTCGTTGGAGGGCGAACACTACGATGATGATTTTATCGTACTGGATCTGGATGACAAATTTGATGTCATCTTGGAATTACCTTGGCTCAGAATATACGAGGCAATAGTGGGCTGGCAGCATCGATCCGTGAAGATGCCTGCCGCTTGTTCATCAGATTGCCGTCTGATGACCATCTTGGAGCGTCCGCAAGCGTGTGGATGTACTGCGAGTGAATGAGATGGCCTCACTTGCGGTACAATCGTTAACACGACTACACAAGAACTCATCATGGTTGATCACTACACTGTGGAGAAAGTCCAGGCGGTCGTACAGAGGTACAGGCAGTGCCGAATGTCCACCACTCGAAGAAGTCGAGTGGACCGGGACATGGATGCATGCCTAGCGGGCAGCATCTTAGAAGTAAGAAACCTGTTGCCTGCAAAGGTCAACATGGAAATCCTTGGTCGACTGGAGAGTCGACCGTACAGAATCGGTGCCTGACTGTGGTTGCACAGCCACAGTTGGAAGACGTCGAGGGAATAAGTCCCCACGTACTTGAGGAAGGAATTCCTCAAGAGTCACTTTTCTGAGGGATCAGGCCCTCAGCAACCTGTGGAAACAAGTTCCCAGGAAGAAACCGAGACGTTGAACGTCTTGGTTAATGACGGATCAAGCGTAGGCGCTTATACGCTTTATTCGATGGTGCCTCTGAAGTTAACTTCGGAGATAACTCAGTTGCCAACGCTAGAACCGAAACGGTTCTTGCGTGATCTGCGTAGTGGCAAAGTCAAGCAGATCTGCATAATCGTCACGGAGAATAAGTATGTGGCTGATATTCGGTCGGCAACAGTATTTGCTGAGATCGAACGGGTTCTCAGCAGCTCATCGATGGACGAAAGTGTCCTCGATGAGAAGACTCGTAATGAACAATACACGCCTCAATCCTGGGATTCACTTCTGGTAAATCCTTTGTATAAGGATTTGATCGAATCCAGGGATGGATTCCCTGCATCCGTGCCATGCGAGTTGCCTAAGGACAAAGGCACTCGACACGAGATCGAGCTCAAGCCGGGATCGAAGTACGGTGTCATGAAGCAGTGGCCACTGCCTCGTGAACAGGTGCTAGCGATCGACAAGTTCTTTACCGATCGCTTAGCAGCGGGCCATGTAAGGCAATCAACATCCCCTCACAGCTCTCCGACCTTCTATGTGCGAAAAGCTACAGGAGAATGGCGGATAGTGCACGCATTCAACACATTGAATGCTGCAACGGTACCGGCTTAGACACCAATACCGAGGAAGGACGTAATCATAGATGGTATGTCCAACAGTGCCATCTTC